GTGCCTGAAAGCAGAAAATACTAGAAAGATGTTTACCTGTGTTTTATTGACTATGCAAAGTTTAAAAAGGGCATGAAGGAAGCATCTGATCTCTAACTTCACAAAGGGGAAAGACGATCAAAATCAAAAGCCCAAGGCTAATACTTATGTGAAGTAGGAGTTGGACATGTTGTCACCCTCCAACCTTTTTGCCAATTCTAATACAAACATCCCTCCTACAATATTCTCTACTTCTCTGCTGGGTTTGATAATTCATTGCAGTAGGCACATAGAACTCACAGATAGTACTCATGATTATGGGGCTTATTAGGGAAATAGTAACAGGTTATAATTCAGGATCAGAAATCACTCAGTATATAGTTCTTCAATCAGGACAGCTTCTCACTGGCCCTGACCTCTGCCCTGTTCAGGCAAGAGTTAGAAAGTTCTTTTAGCTCTGCCGGCAGGTGCACAAAGAGGCATACCATACCACCAGCAAGGCTCCTGCCTGAAGGCACTCAGCTTTCTTGCTCTGTGGGCTGGCAAGCTTGCTGCTCTGTCATGCTGATCTCTTGGTTCTGCCTCCTCTGCTGCTGCTGTCTCTCTGTTAAGTGTTAAAATTTTCTGTGTCTTTGTGTCTGCTGGGTTGAGAAGGGATCACAGGAATCTCGGGTGTAAGGACACACTCCACTCATGGTCCTTTTTTTGATAGTCGTAAGATCCCCCTTCCCACCTCTGGGATGGCTCATTTTAAGCCTAGCAAGATGGCAAAACTGACCATTCCCCACATTGGAGTACTATATACCTTATTTCCCTGTCCCACCCCACAAGGGTACCATGAACCTTATTTACGTTATTAACAAGCTGTCCAATCCCCTGGGTGCCCTCTAGCACTTCACATTTCCATAGTTCTCCCAGTCATCTGGTGAGTGTCTCAGAGACCTTAGCTAGAAGAGCCATATTAAATAATTCACTGTACCACACAAAGGCTTCAACTGTGGGGATCATAACAAATTATTGATAACATTTCAAAGTGTGGCAATTCCAGAACACTTAATTTGTGCTCATGTGGAACCTGTACATAGACTCCGTGAGTCCGAGGCAGTTGTTCAAACAGAACAAGGGGATATTGAGCAGTTTAAAATCAGGAAAAGTGGCAGGGTTGTATCCTCTTGCCACATTTATTCAGTCTGTATGCTGAGCTAATAATCCACGATGCTGGACTGTATGAAGAAGAATGCAATATCGGGATTGTAGGACTCATTAACAACTTGCAGTGTGCAGGTGGCAACCTTGCTTGCCAAAAGTGAAGGTGACGTGAAGTGCCTACTGATGAAAATCAAAGACTGCAGTTTTCAGTATGGATTGCACTTCAATGTAAAGAAAGCAAAAATCATTACAACTGAACCAATAAGCAATATCATGATAAATAGAGAAAACGTTGAAGTTGTCAAGGATTTCATTTTACTTGGATCCATAATCAGGGCCTGTGGAAGTAGCAGTCAAAAAATCAACAACATACTGCATTGGGCAAATCTGCAAAAGACTTCTGAAACAAACAAACAAAAAACCCTCAAAATCCCTGCCATGGAGTCGATTCTGATTCATAGTGACCCCCTTTGGGTTTCCGAGGCAGTAAATCTTTACAGAAGGAGATTCCCCAGTCTTCCTTCCATGGAGTGGCTGGTGGTTTTGAACCACCAACTTTCTGGTTGGCAGTCAAATGCCTTGGGTACTATGCCACCGTGTTAAAAAGCAAAGATATCACTTTGAGGACTAAGGTCCACCTGACCCAAGCTGTGATATTTTCAATTACCTCATATGCATGCAAAAGCTGGACAGTGAATAAGGAAGACCACAAAAAAATTGAAGTACTTGAATTTTGTTGGCAGAAAACACTGAATACACCATGGACTGTGATAAGAATGAACAAATTTGTCTTGGGAAAAGCATAGCCAGAATACTCCTTAGAAAGAGGATGGCAAGGCTTTGTCACACTTACTTTGGACATGTTATCCGAAAGGACCAGTCCATGGAGAAGGACATCATGCTAGCAACAAAAAGATCCTCAAAAAGATGGTTTGACACAGTGGCAGCAACAGTGGCTTCCAGCATAGCAACGATTGTGAGGATGGTGCAGGACTAAGCAGTCTGTCATTCTTTTGTACATAGGGTCACTATGAGTTAGAATGGATTCATGGGTAACTAATGCAATGTTAACAATGGATAATGATCTTGAACATCTTCTCATGTACTTACACACTCTCTCTCTCTCTCTCTCTCTCTCTCTCTCTCTCTATATATATATATATATGTATCTCCTCTTAGTGAAGTGTCTGTTCATTCCTTTGGCCTATTTTGTAACTGGATTGTTTGTTTCCTGATTTTGATGTTTGAGAAATCTTTATATATCTGAGATATAAATACTTTTGTGCATACGTCGTTTACAAATACTTTCTTCTGATCTGTGGCTTGCCTTTTTTATTATCAAGGTTTTGCATAGAACAAAAGTTTTTATTTTGGATGAACTTTCCCTTTTACTTATCATATTTTTGGTGTCTTGTCTAAGAACTCCTGCCTAGCCCTAAGTCCTGAAGATTGTCTCTTTTTCCCCAAAAGTTTTGTTATTTTGTTTTACATTTAATTCTGTGATCCATTTTGAATTAATTTTTGTATGAGTTGTGAGATTTAGGTTATGGTTTATTTTTTTGCCCATGGAGTCCCTGGATGGTATAAATGGTTAAGCTCTTGGCTACTGGCCAAAAAGTTGGCAGTTTGAATCTAACCAGAGGCACCTTGGAAGAACAGCCTGGTGATCCACTTTGGAAAGATCACAGCTGTTACAAGCCTGTGGAGCACAGTTCTACTCTGAGACATATGGAGTGAGTCATCATGAGTCAGAATGGACTCAACGACTGGTTTGGGTGTTTTTGGAGTGGATGTCAGTTACTCCAGCACCTGCTTCCATTGCTGTACTCCTCTATTGAATTGCTTTTTCACCTTTGTCAAAAATAAGTTGTGCATATTTATGTGGCTGTGTTTCTGGAGTCTGTTTCACTGATTGATGTGTCTGTCCCTCTTCCATGCTATCTTAATTACTATTACTATAAAATAAACCATGAAATTGTTTCAGAATTGTTTTAGGTGTTCCAAGGTCTTTGTTTTTCTGTATACATTTCATAATAACCTTGTCTATATCTACAAAAAACCTTGCTGAGCTTTTGATAGAAATTGCATTAAACCTATAGAGCAACTTGGGCAGAATTGACAGCAGGCAAAGGCTCCACAAAACTTGAATTTGTTTCTGTCAGGAGAAGAAAGGCAACTGTCAAGTTTTTAATTATATACATTTGTATTATTAGAATTGGTAAAAAGGATTGTGAGTTACTTTCTTAATGAACAACAAATACCCTTTAGAAATTAGAAATTGTCTAAATATGTGAGAGAGTTCTTTTGTTGTTTTCAAACAGGTGAATGGCTGTGCTTCTAGAAATTACAAGTTAGGAAATCAGTTCACTTGTCATTTCTTCCTTTTTATACTTAATTTCTATGATTTCTATTGGATTATTTATACCTGTTGCTGCACTTGTGGTTTGGTTTGGAGTGGGAAAACTAGATGGACATTCCTTAAGCTTCTGCTGAGTACTGGGCGTTGAGGCTTCAACCATCCACTGAGGTGGGGTCACAGTTCAGTGGTAACACAGCAGAGTTCTCTTTTGACCTCGATCGAAAAGTTTGAGTTTCTGGAGGAACCCTTCCTCTTACCGTGGTGCTCTTTTGCCAACCTTGAAAGTAAGCTGATCTTTCAAAACATAACCAACATAACTTTCACCCAAATCACAATAAAAATTAAAAATAAATAAAAAAACATACCAACAGATTTTCTTAATTTGATGAGTTCTGATTCCTGAGTAATAGGTAATGAATAGCATCTTTAGAATTAATATTTTGAAACATTTCTCTTGGTTTCACAACACCAAGCCAATCTGCAGTGGGGAAATGGTTTATAAGTGGCAGAGACTGTGGGATGAAGCAGCTTTGTTGTTGACGTCACAGGGCCTGGCTGAGGCTGGGCATCAGACTTCACACTGTCACCTCGGCTATCTCAAATCCTCCTTGGAATGTGGCAGGGTAAGAATAAATAAATGCAGGCATAATAACTTAGGGCTAGTTTTCTCTGTGAAAACATCCTCCTGCCGCCCCTGTCCCCCACAGAGATATGGTTCGTATGAATGGTCACCTTTGTCTTGATTCCTCTGTGAAGGTGTTTTTGATAATAATTTGAATATGCTTCATATCATTTCACCCACATCTCACAATTGTTTCATTGTGAGAATAAAAATAGATAATAGATGAGAAAATACTTAAGATAAATTAATTCCTCCATTTGACAAATTAATTGTATCAGGCTTGGTTCTGGGTACTAGAGGCACAATGATGGATAAGGGATACATTCCTTTTGGGGGGATATTACATTCTTGGGGAAGGAATGTGTTGGGGACAGTTAAAAAAAATTAGATGATGATTAAAACACACACACACACACGTCAGGTGTTGAGAGGGGAGTAAATGGAGGGGAGGCATTACTTCTTTTCTGTACACAACAATAATTCTGGGAAGGATCCAGAGATCTGGGTGAGATGCTTTTCAGGCAGAGGGAGAGTTACTGCAAAGGCTCTGGGACAGGAATGAGTTCTGTGTGTCTGAAGAACAGAAAGGCCAATGTGCCCAAAGAGCACTGAAGAAGGAGGAGGGGATAAGAGGAGGTGAGAGAGGTGATGGACGATCATATCAGGCCTCATAGGCCCGAGTAAGGAGTGTGCACTTTATTGGAGGAGCTTATCGGCCAATGTGAAGCAGAGGAATTGTGGCAACTAATGACTCACATTTCTTTCCTTGTTTATTTTCAACCACTAATAACCCCCCAACTGCTGCACAGAGGGAAAGGAACTGATTTTATTTCAGAATTCAGTAAAATCCATTACATTCTATCCTGTTTTATTTATCTTTTCATCCTATAGATCCTATTTAAGGCAGAAGAAAACTAGATCCAAGGGAGAGAAGGAACAGGTTCCAGTATTGGATCATCTCTTGTCTATAATTCAGCTACCTCCAAATAAAGATGCTACTTACCTTTCACATTCTTGGGCAGCCCTGGTAGTATTACCACATATTAGGTAAGAAACTTTAGTTTTGAAAGAGATACATAATGTGCTAACTTAAACATTTGTTAGCCATTCCTTGATGGTCGATGAAAAGGCCAGGGGATGCCAGTTTGAACTTTTCCTTTTTTCTCCCTACTTCTTGGACAGACTTCTTGAGAAAGAGAAGGTGATACCATTAGTCACACGTCTTATAGAGTCACTCTTCATGACTGTTGACAGAGGGAACTTTGGAAAAGGTCAGTTACAATCACCATTTGTTCTCTTCCCTTTCTTTATGGGCACATCCAGAGGCAGTGTAAACACAGAGCACAGTAATTACTTGTCTTCTAGCAAAGAATAAATAATAAATAGTAATACTCTGGAAAGAAAGACAGTGTATTCACTGGGTCAGGGTGGATTGAATGTAAGCTGATCTGAAGACACAATATCAAAAGAGTATCCTGACGTACGTGGAAGACTACTATTTTCACCCCAGCCTGTGTCTGCCATAAAACCCACTGCTGTCGAGACAGATCCGACTCTCAGTGACCCCACCTTGAGTTTTCGAGGTGGTATCGCTATGGAAGTAGATTGCCCAACCTTCCTTCCGAGGAGTGGCTGGTGGGTTTGAACCGCTAGTCTTCTGGTTAGCAGTCATATGCCTTAGGCACTAGCCCCGGTAAATATCTTATGCCCCCAGCATGCTAGCCATTTGCCCTGAGTAAGACACATTCTTTTATAACCCTCTGGCTGCCCTCAGAGGAGCCCTGGTGGTGCAGTGGTTGAGTGCTTGACTGCTAACAGAAAGGTCATTGGCTTGAGCCCACCAGCCTCTCTCCGGGAGAAAGATGTGGTAGTCTGCTTCTGTAAATATTTACAGCCTTGGAAACCTTAGGGGGCAGTTCTTCTGTGTTCTGTAGGGTCTCTATGAGTCACAAGTGACTCCACAGTGCTGGGTTTGGTTTAGGGTTTTAGCTGCTCTCACACATGCATCCCTCTACCTGGACGCCTTTCTGGATCTTCATCGTTGCTGAATTCCCACTTATATTTCCAAGCTCAGCTCAGGCACAGCAACTGTAGGAAGGCCTTCAGGGTGCTTCCTGGTAGAATTAGGCTGCCCAGAGTATCATGTCTTATTGTATATTTGCAGGTTTCCCCACCTAGCTTGAGATCAGCAGTTTCAAAGCAGGTATTTTGCATTATTCTAGTACAGTATACGGAGAGAGTTTATTTTTGTTTTTGCTGTTGAGAACTTATGTAGCCAAATATACGCCACTTTAAGAATTTCTACATGTATAATTCAGTGATGTTGATTACATTGTTCAAGTTGTGCAACCATTCTCACACACCTTTTTTCCAAGTTGTTTCACTCCGTTAACGTAATCTTACTACCTCTAAGGTTCCTGTCTAATCTTTCCAATTGCTGCTGTCACTTTCATCCCATGTAGATAGTTCTTAAAAGAGCACAGTGCTCGGGCAGACATTTTTTACTTGTTTAGCTAAACCGTTGTTTGGTTTTAAGAAGACCTCAGAGAATATTTTTAGTTTAAGGTTTAAAGATTACCTCAGAGCAGTAGTTTCAGGGTTTCATCCAGCCTCCATGGCTCCAGAAAGTCTGGAATATGTGAGAGTTTGAAATTCTGTTCTGCATTTCCCCCTTTTGATCAGGATTCTTCTATATAGTCTTTGATCAAAATGTTCAGTAATGGTAGCTAGGCACTATCCAGTTCTTTCTGGTCTGTTGGCAAAGGAGCAGTTGTTCATGAAGGCAGTTAGCCACACAGTCCACTTCCTCCTCCCATTTTTTGGTATACGTATATTTTAACACAGGTATATAGTAGTCATTCACTCACTTAAATATCAGTGTAGTTGGTTCTGTGTTAGACACTGAGCAGATATATTAGAGAGTAAAGCAGAGTTGCTCTATTTCAAATGCTTACTAGGCACATGTGGCTAGTGGTTACTATATTGCACAGCACAGGTATGGAATGTTTCCATCATTGTGGAAAGTTCTGTTGGACAATGATGATCTGAGTCTAGGGCCCAGGCTGGCAAACTTTTTCTGTAAAGAATCTAATCACAAATACTTTAGGTTTTGTGGGCCACCTTCAGTGTTTATGACATATTCCTTTTTTGGTTGTTGTTATTAATGCATTTTTTAAGCAACCTTTTAAAAATATGAAAACCATTGTTAAAGCCATATAAATACAGGCTGCCTACCAGATTTGGCCTGTGGTCCATAGCTGGCCAGCTTCTAGTCTAGGGATTCAGTGAGTGAGTGTTAATATTGTTAATGGAAGAGATTATAGGTGGTAGCCATTGAATATGTGATTTATAAGTTGGAGAAATATAATTGACACAAATTTAATCACAGATAATATCTTAGCTTTTGAAAAGTTCAAGTCAACTTTACTCAAGAGTCCTGCTTTCAATAATGCTAGTGGGTAGAACCATTTAACTTCCTCTTCATCTCAGTTAATGAAACATACATTTTTATTCTCTATATCTGAATAAATTTTCCTCTTAATAAAGTGTAATAAACTTCTCTTTTTCTTCTCTTGTACTGTGCAATTTGACAGATAATTCGTTTAGAAGGCACAAATTCAAGAACTTCCTATAAGTAGCAAGTACCACATAAAAGAGATATTTGATAGTTCATATCAAAAAGTAAGTGATGCGGTTTTTCTGCTTTTCTGTCCTTAGGAAATTTATTTGTTCTTTGTCAAGCTGTAAATACTCTGCTAAGTTTGGAAGAATCCTCTGAACTTCTTAATTTGGTTCCTGTGGAACGTGTGAAGAATTTAGTATTGTAAGTAAACATGTCTTCCACACAGCTTAATGATGAATAAAATATAGAAGCATATGTTTTTATGGTCTCTTAGACACAATAAATATCCTTGCTTTGAACTATTTCATACCTGAGTTGTATTCACATAATGGACTTTCATAATAATTTGGATTCTCTAGTCAAAGTAAGTATATTTGTTGACACAGTCTTTAAATATAGAATGATTTTTGTAAAGAGGTATTTTATAGTGTGTATAGGAACTCTGGTGGCATAGTGCCTAAGGCATTTGGCTACTAACTAGAAGGCTGGTGCTTCAAATCCATCAGCCACTCCTTGGAAGGAAGATTGGACAATCTACTTCCATAGAGATACTGCCTGAGAAACCCAAGGATGGGTTGCTATGAGTTGAATCAACTCGACGACACTGAGTTTTTTTGTTGTCGTTTGGTTTGAAACTTGTGTTATAGAAGGTCAAACTCCAAAAACCAAACTCACTGCCATTCAGTTGATTCCAACTCATAGCAACCCACATTGGGTTTCCAATGCTGCTGCGTTAGGGAAGTGGACTGCCCCATTTTTCTTCCGCAGAGCAGCTAGTGGGTTTGAACCACCAACCTTTCAGTTAACAGCTAGAATGCCTTGACCACTACACCACCAGAGCTCCTTGTTATAGAGGGTAGGCATCATAAATACTGATTTATTCCCAACCGTAGCATTGCACAGTGCTTACCTTTTGTAACTTCTTCAGTGGGTCCAATATCTGTAGTCTCACTCCACTCATTTCGTATTCTGTCTACCTCAGCTTGATGTGACCAACATTGCAGAAAACTTCCCAGTCATCCTTTTGCTTCATGTTGAAACAGTCCCTCTGCTTCCTCCTCCTTTTATTTATTGATGTTTAGTTTAGTTTCATTTCATTTAGCCGGCACCTGGTATTGTGGTATTGGTAGTCATGTAGCACCATTAGTGGGTAGCCATTCACTCCTTAGCTTACAGCCCTTTCTGAACCAATCTCTTGAAAACCTGATAAAGCTGTTAGCTTCTTTTTCTGGAATTTGATCCATTTTATTCCCATGCGGTTTTTTTTTAACAGATTTATTCATTCACTTCCTTCAATAAATGCATATTTACTTTTCTCACGTGCTCAGCATGATTCTACACATTGAGAGATATAATCAGTGAACAAGACAGACACAATTCCCTCCCTTCGGGAAGCTGACATTCTAGCAAGAAGAGACACGAAACTAAGGATAAGTGTATTAGAAGGTGGGAAGTGCTGTGAAGAAAAAGAAAGCAGGGTCAGGAGATAGGGTGACTGGAAATTGGGGGCAATGACAGTGCATAGGAAGGGCCTCACTGAGAGACATTTGAGCAGAGACCCAAAGGCAAAGGAGTAAGCCACAAGGACATGGGAAGCACTCACTATATTCTGGACCCAGGGAAGAGTACCCATGCTGATTGGATGGGGATTGAGACAGGTCTGGCATGAACAGCAAGGAGAAGATTGTGGCTTACCAGTGGGAGCAAGTAAGGGATTTAAAGGAATAAAAGAAAAGGACCTAGAGGTAGGGTGGGTGGATTATGAATGGCCTTTAGGTCATTATAGGGCCTTGGCTTCTAACATGAGTGAAATGGAAGCCACAGGGGGATTTTGGCAGGAATGACTTAGACCTAAACAAGTTCGTGGGGAGAAGAGACTAGGGGCATAAGGGAGACCAGTTTGGAGACTGAGTGCTGCGGTCCAGGATCTCTTTACATTTCCAAATCTGGAGGAAGTTGCCATTTCTCTGCAGTGCATTGACCTGGTTTAAACTTCCTTCGAGGGGAACTTTTCCCTGCAATGCTTAACCATGTATGCATCACCATACGCACCATGTTATGTACTCCCTTTTTCTTTACCATTCTCTTTAAGCTTCTCCCACTATATTCTTTGGTATAAACGATTTTAGCCTTCTCTAGAAGTTGTGAAAAGGAAAAGCATACACAGCACGGAGAAATATCAGTATGTCCTCTGTGGAAGGCTGCTACCCTTCCAGCTCAGTGGCTGTTAGCCATAGAGGCCCAGAAGCCTTCAACAGGAGTGGGTCCATCTTTGAGGGTGGGAGTGTGAACTTTCCAGTTGTGTCCGTTGTTAAGCCTTGTCTCTGTACTCAGTGCTGTGCTACTGTGATGATCAAGTGCATAAGGTTTCACAGCCAAGGCAGCCTGAATCTTGTCTCTGCCATTTACTTGCTTTGTGGCCTTGGGCAAGTTAGTTAACTTCAACTTCATTATCTCTCAGAAGGACATGGTAGTACTTTCCCCAGCAAGATTAAATTAGACCATTCATGCAGTAATAGCTATATACAAATTCCATTTATTATGTCCTTTTTATGTGCTAGTCACTGTTCTGAGTGCTTTGCATTCATTATTGAATTTAATCTTCAAAATGACTCCATGTGATAGGTACTATTATCATTACAGATGAGGGAACTAGTTTTAAAATAAATCTAGCCTCCAACTACTGCTTGGCCCCCTGGTCTAAGCCACGACCATCTCTTGCCTGGATTATTGCATTAGCCTCTTAACGAGTTTCCTTTCTACCTCCCTTGCCCTATTGCCTTCTATTCTGTACCCAACAAGCAGAATGATCCTTTTAAATACAAGACAGATCATTTCACTCCTTTGCTCACAACCCTCTAGAGTAGTGATTCTCAACCAGGAGCAATTCTGGGCATTTTTGGTGTTACACCTGAGGGGCTGTTACCGGCATCTATTGAGTAGAGGCTGGGCATGCTGCTAAACATCCCACAATGCACAGGGCAGCCCCCACAACAAAGAATTACTCGGTCCAAATGTCAGTAGCACTGCTGTCGAGAGGCACTGTTCTAGTGGTATCCTGTGTCACTCAGATAGAATCCAGAGTCTTTGTCGTGTTACTCAGGGCTCTGTATTGTATGATCTTACCCTTGGCTACTCTGCACATGTGAGCACAGTTCCACCGACACTGGTCTCCTTGCTGTTCCTCAAATAAGCAAGCACACCTCTTGCCAGGACTTGACATTGATGTTGCTTCTACCTACAATCCATTTCTTCCTGATAGCCACATGGCTCACTTCTTCACTTCAGTCTCTGCCTTCCATGACTGTGCCATAGCAAATAGTTCTCCTCATCACTCTCCATCACCCGTACACACCAGCATCTCACTCTAGCCTTCGTTCCCTTATCGATTCCTCATGGTATCCATTACTGTCAGACTTGCCATCTCAAACCCACCAGCCACTCTGTGGAAGGAAGATGGGGCAATCTGCTTCCGTAAAGGTTTACCACTTTGGAAACCCAGTGGGGGCCACCATGAGTCAGAATTGACTAAATTAACAATGAATTTGTTTTTTTGGTTTGTACATATTTATTCATTGGCTATCACTCCCTATTAGAATGTAAGCACTAGGAAGATAAGGACTTTGTCTTGTCTTTAATGCCATCCACAATGCCTGGGAAAGTCACTGGCACATAGCAGACATTCAGTAAGTGCTTGATGAATGACGATGGCATGTGAAGGTTAAGCATCTGCTGATGAATAATAGGGCTACTATGTTCAAACCTAGGCTGCCTCACTCCAGGGCCCACATCATAAACCGCTCTTATTCCTGCTTCCCTCCTTAGCACAGTGCCTGGAACATGGCAAACACTCAGTTAATTGGATATCATCCTTTTATGTGATTGTCCTTTACAACTGGAGAGACTGAAGAGGCAGCACTGGATTCGTAACCAAAATAGCATATTATATCACACCTCTGGAGCCCTGGTGGCATTGTGGTTAAAGCATTTGCTACTAACCAAAAGGTTAGCAGTTCGAGCCTACCAGCAACACTGAAAGAAGGGAATAGGACAGTCTGCTTCTGTAAAAATTTAGAGCCTTGGAAACCCTTTGGGCAGTTCTGCTCTGCCCTATAGGGCCACCATGAGTCGGAATCTGCTTGATGGCAGTAGGATTTTGTTTTGTATTTTTAAATCACACCTCTGCCTCCAGCTAGCTGTATGCCCCTGGTCACATCACTCTGTTGCTGGGCCTCAGCTTCTTCCACTGTGAAATGATGCCACACGTCCACATAAAACTTTCACCTTTTACATTTCCTTCATCAGTGATACTTTTCTACAGTTTATATTACAGTCTGAATACCAGGGGGGAGGGGGGCAGGGGTGGAATAGTTTAGCTCTAATCAATACCTTATTGCAGAACATTTCCTTTGGAGCCATCTGTGTTGCTGTTGGCTGATCTCTATTATCAGAGATTATCCTTATGTGGCTGCAAAGAACCTCTTTCCCAGGAAGCTTTACTGGAATTGTTTTCAAAGTTACGAGCAAACATTTCATCTGGTGTATCCAAGGTAATGGTTTGTTCTCAGTCACCCTTCTTTCGTTCTTTTTTTATGCTGCCAGTGGAATGACAGACCTCCTTAATCAGGAAATCCTGCTATAGGATGATTTCTGTTTACAGCAGTGATTCCTAAACACGGGCCTGCAGACCAGCGCCAGTCGGGTTTGTTAAGGAGCTTAATAAAAATAGAGATTTAGGTCCTTCCCTCAAAACTTCGGATCCAGCAGGCCTAGGGTGGAACTGAAATGTGTTGCTTTCTCAAGCCTTCCAGGTGATGCCACTGCTCGTGCACATGTGAAATATCTGAATACCTTGTTTAGGAATTAAAGTCACTTATTTCAATTGTGCTGCAAGCTTCATCAGATTCTTTGCACTTATTTACAGAGCTGCTTATAAGGCCATTTTTCAAAGAAGCAACCTGCTTTTTTGGGCAACCTTACCTTATCAGCCTAGTCTGGTTGTTGATTGCTCTGTGTAGTATTTAAATAGACGTTGATTGATGTTGAATGTGGAAAAAAAATATAATACATGTTTGTATTATGCTTATCAAAGGGGACATTTCTCTTAATTGTATAAGACTTAGATTACACTGACTATTGATCAGTTTCTTCCATTGTTTAAACTTTGGAGTTTCAAACGTGTCTTTCCCTTTCTCTAGATACGGCTTTCGACAGTAAGGATTCTAAACCATTTTGAGGTTCGGCTTCCAGAATTGATGGAGGTATTTTAATTGCTCAGTTTGGATACTTTTTCAAAAGTATGATTTTACATATGCATTTTTCATTTCCAAAATAATACCTTTGTGGAAAATTCAAGCACTGTAAATATTGATCATAAAAATTGAATTTATTTATAATTCTTATTCCCATCCACCCCCAAAGCCACCATTGAAAATCCAGTTAATTGGTGAATAATTCTTTCTGACTTTCTGAATACACATACGACTACATAATCTACTCTTGTTTGATAGGTATTTTTAAATAATGGTATCATGGAGATTGGCTTTAAAACCTCATTTTTTTAGTTCTACCTCATTTTTTTGAAGTTTGACTAGTGTTCCACAGTTTAAAAGAATTTATTTCATCAGTTCCCTATTGGCGGGTATTCGGTGGGTTGTTTCTAGTTTTACGTTGTTTCAGACAGTGATGCAGTGCACAGCGCTGCATAGACGTCTTGGCAGAGGAAATATTTACACAATGCAAATTATTAGAAGTAGAATTGCAGAGTGAAAGTATGTATGTATGTTGTTATGTTTTATGACAGATAATCATGAGCAGTTTGAGTTATTTTGAAAATCACTTTCCTGTTTTACGCTTGTCCTTTCTATTTTAGAGATTAAACATGAATTATCTACTAAAAAGTCAGTGATATGAGACCAAGCATATCACTGCCATGTAAAAAGTACTCCTTGTTTAGCGTAAAGCCGTAAAGTACTGGAGTTGTTTCTCTTTTAGAACTTTGGTCACATTCAGCATTCCTTTTTGAAAATCAAAATGCTGATCTGCCTTCTGGGTTTCCTTTGGTTGTTCAGGATGACGGGCTCTCGGAGCGCCAGTCTGCCTTTGCTATAATCCGTCAGGCAGAGCTGGTCCCAGCTACTGTGAACGATTACAGAGAGAAGCTGCTTCATTTGAGGAAACTAAGACATGATGTGGTGCAGACTGCACTCCCTGATGGGCCACTGCAGGAGGTAAACAAACAAAAAAAAGTTGTTTTTTTTCCTTTATTTGTACTTTAAAACTTGTTTAGCTGGCTTTGGGAAAGGGACATATCCCACGTCATCACCAAAAAGAAAAAATATTTAAAGGAAGAAAAATCTAAGTTCTCTTGAATGCTTTGAGTTAAATGGCTCTTTTAAATAATAGGAATCATGTACCATCCTCTCTTTTCCTGAGTGGGACACTGTGGAGAAGTAGTGAAGACCAGTCCCCTTCTAGCTTTCATTCCTTTTTCTAATGGAACAAGGAAGTGTCTACATTGGCAGTTTGTTTTACTTAGGGTCTCTCTGCTATTTCTTACCATTCATTTACAGCTTATAGCACATGAGCATTTTAAAATATAATCCTTCACTTTTATCAGATTTATAATAACTTCATCAATCTCAGACACTAATGAATTGGATAATTTTGCAAATGATTCCTTATAAAAAAAAATGTGAACAAGTTTCTTTGATATTACAGCTTGAAAATGCAAATTTCTTCTGTTTCTTTTTTTAAAGGGTAGAATATAAATGATTGTGATGGGTTGGAGCAATATGTTAAACAAAGAAACAGAACGGCCTCTTCTGGTCAGAAGCTTTAGCATAGAACTGTGTAGTAGGATGATCAAGACTGTTGGCCTTCCTTTCACTGCCACTTCCTGGGCCCTGAATCTCTCTATGCCTCAGTTTTCTTATTTGTAAAGTGGGCAAAATAATAATACCCAGCTCATTGGGTTGCTCCGGGATTATATGACATAAATAAAGGAATATAAAACTCTTAGAATGGTACTCTGGTGGCATAGTGGTTAAGACATTTGCTTGCTAACCAGAAGATGAGTGGTTTGAGCTCAACAGATGTTCCATCTGTTGGATTGGTCTGCTTCCGTAAAGATTTACAGCCTTGGAAACCCAGTAGGTTGGAATTGACTCCATGGCAGCAAGTTTGGTTTTTGGTTTGAGAATGGTGCTGAGCAGTCATTCAGTGGTAGCTGCTATGATTATTATTGATCTTTCCTCAAACACAATTGACCAACTACAATTAAAACGAAGCACAGGCTTCTTTTTGAACCTCAGATTGCCCAAGTCAGGATGTTTATATTTCAGTGCTCTGTCTCTGGCTGTCTGTTGTAGTCCATTACCTGTTTACTAAACTGGCTTCTTGTTATTGCAGGTGCCACTTCGTTATTTATTAGGCATGTTGTATGTTAATTTCAGTCCTCTCTGGGATCCTGTCATTGAGCTCATAAGGTAAGTGTGGACCCAACTGGTGAAGCTGTTATGGTTTAAGTACTGCAGATTGATGAGGTCAGGAGTCTAGATGTGATTTAAGTGATGAGTGTAGACAGTATTTTTAGCTACCTGAAATCTCTTGTGGGACAGAGTGAAGAAAAAAATAAATATTCGTTTCTTACTTGATATCAGGTTTTTGAGTAGTTCAAATATCCTAGTATGTTCCTTTGTGCATTGAAAAGCATGGGAGCACACTAGGAGGATTTGCTCTTTTTACTTAATATGATACTCTGTGCTGTGGAAAACTTTTCACAGGTAAGAACATATTTTACCATGATTGCCTGATTTTATTTATTGAGTCATTGAGCCAAACTTTAATTTAAAAATAAGGACCTTCGGAACCCTTGCTATCACATAAGTTATATACAACCCCACATTCAAAAATTCCTTAGCTATGAAAAGGACCTTAATAGTCACATAGAAGACATATCGGCTGTGGCACACATGTAGAAATCTGTCCTTTTGCAGACATTTTTCTGCAATAGTCTATTCTGGCTTTATGTCAAATTGGAAATATGTCACGTGTGGCCTTTCAGAACCCCTGGCCACTGGTTCTTATTTGACATAAGCAGAATAAACAAATCCCTTTCCAATCTGGAGGCATTTGCGTGCCTTTTATTGTCCGTCATAAGCTGTCGGGCCAGCATGCTGAAAGCCCCCCCAAAACAACTGCATCATCGTGCTGATGGTGATTCTTAGAAGACGAAAGGAATCTAATATATGCGCTACCAACAGCCCCAGTCAGAAATGTGGCCTTTCAATTACTGGATGCTTCACCATAGCTGCCTTGGTTATCTTCCTGTTGGGCATGTTTTCCTGTTTGAACACTGATTGGTTTTCCATGTGTAGGCCACAGCATAGTGTTTCCATCTTACAGAAAGTTTATGCATATTCTTAGAAAATCAATGGCAAAATACGTATCAAAAGTTTGAGATTTTGAGGGGATAATTTTGGTCTAGTTGGGGGCCACATGCTGAGGTGGGTAAGGTGAGGGATGGTATGGAAAGAGTCTGTGACCACCATTAGGGGAAAAAGAGGATACCGCATCGTGCACATAAAATATAGACGGCAGAGGCTGATACCATTATATCCACAATACTGCGTTACCATCAACACCAAACACCAGGCTACAGATAAACACATAAACTTCTGAGAAGATCAGATCGGGGTCAGTGAAGAGGATTATACTCTAGACCGAGGATAAATTCAGCTGACGCTAATCTTGCACAGATACCGGTGATGCAAAATACCTACAATCCTTACAGAAACAACAGAAGACAGACAGAACAATCCCTCACAGACAGTCAGACACTGTGGGAGAGAGAGCCAATGTATCTACCAACTCAGGACCATAGTACTGGGGGACACCAGACTCAATTGGCACAATAAAATACATAAAAATCTTGTTTTGCAATCTGTGTTGGTGAATAGCGACTGGGGTCTTCAAAGCTTTCAAGCAGCCATCTAAGATGCAGCTAATGGTCTCCTATTGCTGGAAGTGAAGAAGAGTGCACAAAACAAAGGGCATGTGGAAGCATTCAGCCCTAGGGTATGATGGACCTCAAGACCAGAAGAACCAGATAGTGCCTGGCTACCAGTGCCAGCCACTCAGGAAAGGATCAAAACTGGAGATCCTGGATAGAGTGGGAGGAAAAACGTGGAACAAAATCCAAAAACACAATAAGGACTGGAATTATTGGTCAGATAGGCTCTCGTCAGACCCCCAATACTATGGCCCCAGCATACACTTCGAACCTGGAATAAAACTCACTCCCAGGGGCTGGCTTTTAGATCAATAGTAAATAAGACATACACGCAGACCATTCAACCCAGGATGATGCACCCACATACTCTATGAAGATGTACCCCTTGGGGCAGTTGACCACAGTGCACCAGAGGGGCAACATTCTGGCATGGAGGAAATGCAGGACACACAGGAATGCATAACTATGCATTGAGGGGGGAGGAGTGGTTACTAGGCAGGGAGGGAAGGAGACTGGGTTAGGGTAGGGATGGTAATTAGGAAGTGAAACCAAATGTACATGAAATGTTGAAGGTAAAACAGACTCTGGTCTGTAAACTTGCATCTAAAGCACAATAAAAAAATAAATAATGAGGAAAAAAAGTTTGAGATGAACTTGGTATTAGGATATAAAATTTAATGTTACATAATTTGTAGTTAGTGCTTATTTTGCTTTATGTTGATTAAAAATACCATTATCATGTAGTAGAGAAAAAAATCAACATTTTTAAATTGGCTCTAAAGAAGCTGATTATTCTATCCAAATGGAAGCTTTCTTCTTCCTTTAGTGGGCCACATCCCATAGCCCATACCACTTGCCCCATTCTTTTTTCTGTGCCTTTAAAAATAGTCTTCTTATAGGAATCTACTTACATTTTAAAAGATATTCTTCAGTACTTTAGGACTATGAAAATAATTTGTGCTCAGTGCAGGAAATTTGAAAGATATTTTAAAAATACGTAAGTTATATACAACCCCACATTCAGGAATAACCTGATTAACATTTAATTATACTCTTTTCAGTCTGTTTTTCCTATGAGACATCACAAAATAAGAAACATACCATGTATTCTGTGACTCTTTCTCTTAGTTCTCATGCACATGAAATGGAAAATAAGCAGTTTTGGAAAGTCTACTATGAACATCTAGAGAGAGCAGCTACCCATGCTGGTATGTAAGGGGATTGAGGGGACTGGGAAGAAAGGTGGTTATTGAAATGTCTCCTTTTTACTGTTTAATTACATATGAAATTGGGAAACAGAAATGAGAAATGTATTATCTTTGGTAATTTTTGGATATGTTTTACTGGGGACACATAGGACAAGTTGTAACATTTCTCTAATAGTTATGATGACTTTTATCTTGCAGAGAAAGAGCTGCAAAATGATGAAAGAGATGAAGAAAAATCCATTGGAGATGAAAGTTGGGAACAAACCCAGGAAGGAGATGTTGGGGCTCTTTATCATAAGCAGTTAGCATTGAAGACTGACTGTCGGGAAAGACTGGACCACACTAACTTTCGATTTTTACTCTGGCGAGCCTTGGCCAAATTCCCAGAAAGAGTAGAGCCACGGTCCAGGGAGCTTTCCCCGCTTTTCTTGAGATTTATCAAGTAAGTGTTCTCCTAGAAGTCTGTCCTTGATATGAGGTGAAGAAGAGAAGGTAAAAACTATTAACCTTCCAACATGGCTGAGTTCTTACCAATTTGTCACATTTTCAAATCACTAGCACATCTGTAAAGCCATGCTCTGTCAGATCAAAACTAAACTAATTTTGTTCACTGTTCACTTTTACATGGAACCAAATTTAACCAGCCCATAAGTGGTGTTAATAAAAAAATTCCAGATTACAAAACAAGAAAGGCCATATTAAATTACATCAGTGTACAAAGGCCTTATTATTTGTTGCCCTCTTGTTCATTGTTTCATTGACTGCCTGGGCTTAAGGACTTTTTTCCCAGAGCCCCAGCCCCAGCCCCAAAGGCCTTCTTCTTACTGCTTCAGGAGGACATATTCCACTGTGTTTTGAGGCTCTTAGTATTTTTCACGATGATGAGGAAGATACTCTCAAAGAATAGCAAGAGAGTTTGGAGTGTTGTTTTGCTCTGGTGGGGTATGCTGTGTGAGAGTCTGATTGCTTTAAAGCTGAAAATGAGGCATGTGACGTGTAGAACAATATTAAGCAGTCACTTAAAAATATGAGTTCTAAGAATATTTCTTTACATGGGGAAAATGTCGTAGGGTTAGATTGAAAAGGTTACAAACCACAACATGCCTGGCTTATTCAAGGAATAGCAAGGGCGTATGAGTAGCTATAGTACAGTAATCCAGGGAGAAAGTAGTTGGAGATAAGGGCAGAAAGTCAGAGGAGACCAAATTATGGAGAGCCTTTAAGTAATAGTAACATCCTTGGCATTTACTTTTAGGGAGATGAGAATTCACTGGAAGGTTTAAGCAGGAGGATGAAATGACTTAAGTTTTCTGGATGGAACCCTAGTGACTCGATGGTTGGTTAAACACTCAGTCATTCACTGAAAGATTGATGATTTAAACCCACCCAATGGCTCCTCAGGAGGAACACCTGGCAATCTGCTTCCGTAAACATTACAGCCTAGAAAACCTTCGGGGGTAGTTTTACTCTGTCATATGGGATCACTATGAGTCAAAATTGACTTATTGTCACTTAATTTTACACCAAACCTTATTAAGGATTTTTCCAGCTGGTGCATTGAGAACAAACTTTAGTATGGCAGTGGTAAAAGCAGGACAAGTTAGGAGGAGACTAGAAGTCCAGACAAGAAATGATCACGGTGGCTTGACCACCTTTGTAGTAGTGAAGAAGATGACAGGTGGTTGGATTCTGGTTGTATTTTGGAGGATTTCAGTTAGATAAACTTTTGAAGGGTTTCAAATATATGAGCCCACAGGCTTTGCTAACAGACCAGAGGTGGAGTGAGTTGGTATAGGGATGTGGGGATATGAAAAAGACTGTCTCTAAGGTTTTGATCTCAACAATTAGAAGAAGAGCATTACCATTTATGGATATGGTGAGGGATGCAGGAATTGCAAGTTTGTGAGGGAAGATCAGAAGTTCATTTCTGGATATAATAAATTTAGAATACTTGGTGGCTTGCATGCTGTGAAGCTAGAGGCTATGTTAACTGGTATTTCGAATACCAGCAGGATCACCCATGGTGGATGGGATTCAGTGGAGCTTCCAGACTTGTTGTTGTTAAGTGCCGTCGAGTCGTTTCCGACTCATAGCGACCCCATGCACAGCAGAACGAAACACTGCCCAATCCTACT